AGCTCTCCGCCTGTCACCCTACAGGGGCAGAAACAATATTGGACCGGATTCAAAATAAAATATGTTGTCTTCTTCAAAAGGTAAGCAATAGAAACGCACGCCGTAGCTCGTGTCGTCCTACATCAGTATTAAAAAAAACACCCAGTGCGATTACATATTACATACACTAAAGCTGAGCACCCCAGAGGCACTTTGGACAGTTTATGTTTGTTTTTAAGTTTGACAATGCTTACACATTTCACTATGTGAATGAGGTCTTTTATTATACACAAAGGATAAATTACTTTGATTTATTTGCGTCACTTTATTTCAATCTACATGATGGATCGTTCATAAATGCCGAGAAAAATGACAGAAGCGAAGTTTTATGTGTTGTTTCATGTTTTCCGTTCTGTTTTTGCTAAATTTCTCCACCCTTGTTGTTGCAGTGCATCGTCATCAGTGTTTGTTTATGCAGTTGTTAACCTTTAACCTCTTGTAATGTGAGCCACCTTTACACCTTTATATTGCCCTGGGCTTTTGCAGTTATTCATTTATTCATTGTTCATGTGACTAATCCATTCATTCATTGCAACAACAAAAAAAACTAATAAAAGAACAGAATATTTAAACCCCATTCATTGATTAGAACCTTCATTAAAATGCCACAAAAGAGAAGCCACTTCATTATACAATCCAAAATGATCATATTCTAATAATTTTTGAGGAGTCACAAGTATAAAACTGAGAAGAAATATTCTTAAAAAAATCCAAAACAGAAAAAGAAATCTTCATATTATACAATGCTGAAAAATTCCATTCAAACAAGCTAAGTGGGAGACAAGGTGTGAAAACGATCTTAAATGTGAGGATGCATTTGCGTGTGACTGAGACCCTCAGAACAACTATTACTTACAGATCAAACACCAGATAGTGGAAACCCTCCTCTGATATGCTGTCATGAAGTCTTACTGTAGAAGAGATTAAAAACAGACACAATCAAAACAGATAACGTTTCAAGGATAGAGCGCTGTTGGAAAAAAACACGTATGAGCAATGATTCCGTTGTAAAACTGAAAATGACCCAGTTTCTGGAATTGCTCCTGTGAATGTGGACTTTGCCCAAGTCAGGCAGATAAATCTGACCATCCCTGATGAACCTTAAATGGTCAGACCTTTGCGAACTAAAACGCCCCTTCCTCTTGGAGCATATGCTTCACTTATTCAAAAAAGAAAACTTGTCATTTGAGCCACATTGGTATTAAGTTTACTAAACAGATGAAAACCTCAACCTTTTGGTTACAATCTTGAAAACCTCAGTTATAAATGAATATACAGGGAAGGTCATCATTAAACCCGAATAAAAATATTACCTTTATATTTTTTTCATGTACAGTCCTCCAAGCGTATCAAGTGTGACTTGTTCTCAGACTCCATCCAAAGACAGATGTGACAGAATCCTGATTCAAAATAATCTCACAGATCTCACACAGTTGTGGTGGAGTAAAGGAAGCTTTTGTGGATGAATTTGAAAACAAGATAGGAGAGAAAGCCTCTTTTAGAGGTATAATGAGGAGGAAAGAGCGTAGAGGGTCAGAAGTTTCCCTGTTTTCTTTCTGATGACTCAGCCGGGAGAGCACACAGGTACATCATCATTAGATACTTGGAAACACGCACACACACATACAAACTTGTTCTCCCCCTTACCCTAGCTGTCTCATAACTGTGTCTCAAAGATGAATAGCCATAGCAGAAATCGCAAGAGACCTGAACAAAGTGTGTTGTTTTTTTCATTCTTTTTTTTTTTACGCCTTTGTTGCTTTGTGTGGGTGTGTGTGTCTTGTGTGTGTGTCTGTGTGTGTGTGTATGTGTGTGTGTGTGTGTGTGTGTATTTAAGGATCGGGACACTCGGCTCACCGATGTTGGGGTGCTTTAGTAAACGACAAATCCTCGCCTCCCTCTCCAGCTTTTGATGATCTGAAAGAGAAAAGCAGAGGAAACGCCATCAGAGAGGAGATATTTTAACCGTCTTCATCATGCGTTTGTCACGACCGCCTTGCAGCTCCGTCGGGCACAAAGTTTTCCCCAACTGCTTCGCCCCTCCGTCGAGGACGCAGTGGTGTCAGCATCCGTGTGCGTCTTCCCTGAAAACATCTGTGCGGACTGGCCTAACATCAGCCTGCTCCTCAGAATGGAAATGGCAGACAGAAATAATGTGACCTGATAGGTGCTGGGTTACGTGCTGCAAACTAGCTTGCCTCAGCAAACTGTGCACAAAGCGAACGGCCACGGTGGGTTCATGCTGACCATTGGTTTGAAGCCTATATTAAGCTTTTTAATGCACTTGTAGTTTCCCCTTTTTCTGCCGCAAAGACAAAATAAAGCATGACCGATAAACATTGACCCATAAATGAAAGTCAGCACCGAAACCTAAGTTCTTGATAACATTTGTTTTTTTAAAGTTTCAATGAAAAGTATTTTTTTGGGGGGGAGGGGTCCATCAAGAATGTTTCTTTGACTTTTTGTGCAGTTTTTTTAAAGCCATTCTGACTTGGATCAAAATGTTCCCGATAGAGAAAGATGATTTACCAGTCTTCGAAACCCCTTAAAACCATTGATCACACATCTGATGTCCCCTTCTGTATCAATGTTTGTGACACTTTGGAGCCTGCTGAAAATTGTTCAAACTCTCGAATACAACAAACGTTTTGCCATATTTGGTTGATCTAAATATTTAGTTTAAACTTTTTTATCAATGACACCTTTAGTACAAAAATATGAAGAAACATACACATACTCCATAGTATTGTAGGGTCTGGTTTGGTAAGATGAACTGTGTAATGCAGATGGCAACAGCTGGCCACATCTTTTGGGAAAACCTAAACCTGTCCTTTAAAACCTCTTTATAGCTTGGCCTCACAGAACACTAGAAATCTAAAATGAAAACCATTTAATACATGACAATTCAAGGTTAAACAGTGAATTACTGCTCGTTCCCTGATGTATTTCAGTAGTTTGTAGACAATGTAATAACCCATCTGAATGATGTCTGTGCTAAGTGTGTAATTTACAGCTTGAAAGATAAAGTGTTCCATACTGAAAACATAATTCTTTCACTGCATGTGTGGAGTTCTTGTCACTTGCTTTAAAAAGAAATGTCTGTCCTTTCCTTTCCTGCGGCTACTGTATCATTACTCTGTTGCAAGAAACACCCACGGCAGAGATACGGCGCACAGAAAGGAACTCAAGTCTCTTTTTTCAGTTACGCCAGCAAGATTTTATCCGACTCTCTGGGAGTGAAGTGATCCACAAATCCGAGCGTCAGAAGAAACCTGAAATTCTGATTCCGATCAGGGGTAATAACAGCAGCCGTTGCCATGGTTAACACACTACGGTTTTTAGGCGACCCATTTCAACTTCTCCTCAAGGCACAGAGAGCAGGCAAATAGTGAGGGAGAGAATCAAAAGCAGCAGATTCTGCTTTCTCCCCTCCCTCCCCCACCGCCCCCCGCAAATAAAATAGGACGCCTATTTTTCATTCTCGTCTCCGTCTTCTTCCTCTGCTCTTTCAGATGCTATGGAAACAGCAGGCTCTCTGCAACGTGAGGGAAAGACCAACAAGGAACACGAGGAACATGAACAGCCTGCTCCGTGTCAGTCCCTGCGTCTGTTTGCTTTGCATCAGGATGTGATGCATCCATAGGAAGGAAGGGACACACATCCACAAAGCACACACGGAAAAGAGAAGATGAATGCCATGTTTTCTACCGCTTATCACTTATCACCAGAATATGTCTTCTAACTAAAAATCAAACAAACTGTGTGAGATGCAATAAAAAAAAATCTGTTGAGGAGATACAAAAAAAAAATAGATGAGGTGATTTTTTCCCCAAATCTTTCCTATCAAGTCATTAAAAACAGTATTGCAAATGATGATATACACAATTAACCCAATTCTCCTATTCATGATTACTTCAATAACTATTTCTTTAGAGCTGATTAAAGAGTGAGAGAGAGTGAAAATGCAGAGGAAGGTCCGCAAATGCTCATGCACAGTGAACCCAAGTCTGCCACATTGCCCGTGAGAACACGACAATTCTAATTTTGTCGGAAATACGCTGCCAGCTCTAAGCAAAAGGCACGGCAGCAGACAGACGGGGGCAGAGCCGGAGACAAGGGCAGCCACTCAGACACTGTTGCAATATTAGCAGGACCCTCTGAGCAAGGTCACTAACGTCCGCGTCTCAGCCTCGGCCTCAGCACATTACTATCTGAGACACCATCCCTTCGAGTTTCTCTCAACACAAATCCTGTGCTTCATTTTTTTGCTTTACACGGTCATAGGATGTACTGGAGGGACCTACACAAGCTCTAAGATTATGTCAAAATTACGTTTAGGTACATGAGGCCTAAATTAAGGAGGAGTTATGACATTTCTTCTTTTGAATGTTCACACCCCCGTGGAAAAACATTGAAAGGAAATTAAAAGATATATTTTCCTGTCCTATTTTTTCCAAGTGTAGACGTTAAAGAGTCAATGCGACAACATTTTCCTGTGACACTTTTGTCACTTCCAGGCTCGGTTTTTGCAATAATGTCACCGAGGCAAGAACAAAAGTCACGGTCAGGGTAAAATAGACAAAAATAATCACCACCCACATACTTCCTTTGCACTGCTGCCACCAGCTTGCCGCATGCAGTTTTTCACCTTTTACATGCCGTTTCTCTCATGAGTCTGGACGTCTGGAGAGAGGAAAGTGTCTGTAAACACACCTCGCCACCCACACAGATAAGAAACAATCACCAATGCCCTGAAATAAAGATTATCTGACTATCTAGTTGAATCTAATCAAGCCCCTCAATAGTGGCTTATTCAAGCACATTCAGGAGGAAAATGAACTCCTCTGCTCTGGTCTATTTTCATCCTGGTTACCATGTGTAGGTTGATGCTTCCCAGCATTGGTGTTCTTCACCATAAAAGGGAAAATATGTCAGCCTTTTTTCAAATGCAATCCTTTAGGTCTACCTGGCACACTGATGCCAAACTGAAGCTTGCACATTCAAAAGTCTCTGCAGAGCATCCCTCTCTGCGGAGCTTTTTGTTGTTTTCTCTTTCGGTTCAAATCAGCAGCACGCAACATGCGGTCAAGTTAAGTTGGCTCAGTTTTCTTCCTTTTTCTCGTTAGTGAACTCAACCCTGCAAACGTCAGTCATATCGCAGCATTTTCCACCCCTGTTTTTCCTCTCATTTTGTCTTTCCCCTCACTCTCCCTCCTCCACAGGTAGTGTACCTCCTAGCTGGCTGGACATCTGTTGTCTAGCAACTCCTGAACCAATCAGAGCGTCGGGCCTCCCCTCTCCTCTGCAGTGGAACCAGCCTTGCATGCAAATGGCAGACATCCGAGAGTTCACACACAATTATAAAACTCCACAGAACAACTCCACGGAACAATATATGATTCAGCAGTAACTACTGTAGTTCTGGTTAAGCATTCATAGCCCCAGTTTGAATTCAGATTATTTTTTCATGTTAAACAACACAACCTGTCTCACACAGAATGCATGATATCAACTTGGATGGCAATGGAAAATGAAATGCAGACAAATGCAGGTCTCTGCAGCAGGTTATTTCAATTATGGAAAATAGCAAATATATACATATTCAGCCGCAGCGGGAAATGGAAACTGGCAGAAATCTCTAAAAATTGGGATACTTGTAAATACAATACAATACAATACCTTTGGCAGGCTGTATCTTTTAACATAAACTGTTTACAAGATATGGTCAGGTTGCACAACGCTAAATGTTCCGTGATGTCGACATCTTTTTCACAGAGAAAAAGGGTGCTCTGTGCCAGTGATGACTTATGCTTCACTTGTGCAGTGAATTATCTTATTTTTCTCTACTTTTGCTAACTTTAGTAATGCATACACACTAGGTCAGAACAAATCGGTACACCGGTGTACAAGCGGGTCCATTTTAGTTAGCGGACGGTCAAATCACTTCAATTACACCCGCAAACAAATCTGAATCTGCCAGTCTCAAAAACCTACAACGGACAAAAAATTGCTGAGACTGACAGACAAAACACTTACATGTGTCTGTGCATGTGCAGGCTTGAGCTGCGTTCTCACACTTACGAAAAGCAATTTGCTTACGTAGTTAAAACTGAAAGCAGCATTTCTACAGAATGTGTAGCTGTGATTGTTATCGTAGATGCGTCTAGATGTGTTATATCATTTTACATGATGAAATACTTTGGCACAATAATCAAGAAGGAAGTTTTAATGAAGGGTCTTATGTAAAGTTAACCCTAAAAAAAATCCCATAAACTACTTGTGGGCTAAAACAAGGTGCGACAGTTTGACTTTCCCAAAAATAAATAATAAGAAAAAATACAAACATATGCAAATGCAGACATTTTTGCTCAATAATATCTTTAAGTAGATCAAATCTTTGCCACCTTGAGTCCTTTATGCTATTACTAAAGACAACACTTATTAATCTCTGTATCAATTCACTAGAAAATTAGAATTTTTTTAAAAAATGTTTGAAAATGTGGATTATTTAGTTCTTAATTCCTTTTCTGTGTTTAGCGTACAATCAGGAGATTGTTGATGCCATTAGGTGGCAGCATTAGTAAGGGATGTCAAGGTTACTTCTCTTTAATTATTTAGTTATCTCATTCCATGTTTTTTGCAACTACTTTAAAATTGGCCTCTAAAAAATATTGCCAATCTAGCTAAACCTTAACACAAAATTAGTACCCGCACATGAATATAAAACATGTCAGAAAGTCTTCACAACATAAGCGGCACAAGGCATATGTGGATGTGTGTGTGATGAGGATAAAAACAGTTAATCAGTGAATTCTATCAAAAGATCAAATAAATTGTGCGGGAGGAATATGGTCGGTAGATCAGTGGCTGTCAACCGAGGCAAGCATTCGAATAAAAGGCCAAGGTGGTAAATGTAA